TGTGTGTGGGTGTGGGTGTGCATGCGTGCGTATGTGTGTGTGTGTGTGCGTGCGTGTGTGTGTGTGTGCATGCGTGCGTGTGTGTGTGTGTGTAGACGAGATGCATGCGGAGATCTGCTACGCTGAGTGTTTGCTGCAGAAAGCCACGCTGACATTCGTGCAGGTCAGTGAACCCTAATTGTTTTTATTAATCAGCATTAAATAAGGTAAAATATAAGAGAAATATACAAAGACACAATCTCATTCATCACCGTTTTCTGTATTTCAGGATGAAAACATGATCAGTTTTATTAAAGGAGGAATCAAAATACGTACAAGTTATCAAATCTACAAGTGAGTCTGAAATCAAGAATTCCCTCCTGTTGCCTGTATCAAAAATATTATATAATCTGTTATATTTAAAAAATATTGTGTTTGTAATGTTATTGCATATAAGCAACAATTCAAAAATATACATTAAAATATTTTTTATATAATATTTTTTATTAAAAAAAATCAGTTCAGTACAAAGAGACACAATATAGATTAGAACATGCAATGCAATATAACCCCTCCACCCCCAATATTAATTTTCATTTATATCCACATGCAGAGAATTAGTATTAGTAATGATTTATTATATTATTTATATTAATAATAATTATTATATTATATTGCATTTTGCACATATATGTACTAGGGGTGGGAGAAAAAATCGATTCACCTAACTATCGCGATTCTTTTAAAAACTCGATTTATATTTAATTATTTTACTTTTCCTAAGAGGTGGTCGGGAGAAGTTGGCGCTTTTATTCCAACAGAGGGCGAAATGTATAGGTGAGTTCGACTTGAAGCAGCCGCGCACAGACCAATCGGCGTATGACATCAAAGTACCGCGAGAGCGATTCGAAAGCATGCGAAGCCATCTGCTCTCTGTAGCTCTCGCGGTGCTTTGTCATACAACGAGCGGTCTGCATGCGCAGTGCTGCTGAATTAGATGACGGCGTATTCGTTTCAAGCCGGCGCGAGAAAGCAAAACCATGACAGAGGCAGAGGATCAAACCTCTTTGAGAATTATTTCTGCACCTTCACGTTTTGAATCCCAATTGTGGAAACACTTTGGATTTTACACACTGCCGGGAAAACATGACTAAAACCGTATGCAAAGTGACATAGAACTTTATTTTATTTCAGAAAGTATTTTTTTCCTACTCATTTTGTTGAACTTTTGACTATTATATTCATGTGCAAGTTCAGTGTTTTGGTACTTGAAAGTTTCATGGTTCAAGGTGTTAGATTTTCCTGTATTTGGCTGAGCAATAGTTTGGGTGCCTCGTAGGGCTGTGACGGTCGCTGTGACAACCGCGTCACCGCGGGGGTCGCTTGCCACCGGCAGTAGTGCACGTGACGTCACGCACTCTATATCAAGCATATTACGAAGTTTTGTATACAAGAGTAATAACGGTAGCGGAACAGTGAACCGTGTCTACACCGGACGCGACACCGCCGCGTCGCAACAGGTTGAGTCTGTCTAGTGTCTACTAGGGTTGTGACGGTGAGGAAATTTTCCCACCGGTTAATCGACGTGTGACAACACCGGTAATACCGGTATCACCGCGGGGGCGGGGCGTTCCCTCTTTTCCTTGCTTTCCTTCGCTTTTAAATAGCTTGTAAAAGCGGTGTGCCCATTTTACTTTAACTTTCAAATAGCGCCAATTCGGAGTAAAGCTGTGTGTGGGTGTGGGTGTGCATGCGTGCGTATGTGTGTGTGTGTGTGCGTGCGTGTGTGTGTGTGTGCATGCGTGCGTGTGTGTGTGTGTGTAGACGAGATGCATGCGGAGATCTGCTACGCTGAGTGTTTGCTGCAGAAAGCCACGCTGACATTCGTGCAGGTCAGTGAACCCTAATTGTTTTTATTAATCAGCATTAAATAAGGTAAAATATAAGAGAAATATACAAAGACACAATCTCATTCATCACCGTTTTCTGTATTTCAGGATGAAAACATGATCAGTTTTATTAAAGGAGGAATCAAAATACGTACAAGTTATCAAATCTACAAGTGAGTCTGAAATCAAGAATTCCCTCCTGTTGCCTGTATCAAAAATATTATATAATCTGTTATATTTAAAAAATATTGTGTTTGTAATGTTATTGCATATAAGCAACAATTCAAAAATATACATTAAAATATTTTTTATATAATATTTTTTATTAAAAAAAATCAGTTCAGTACAAAGAGACACAATATAGATTAGAACATGCAATGCAATATAACCCCTCCACCCCCAATATTAATTTTCATTTATATCCACATGCAGAGAATTAGTATTAGTAATGATTTATTATATTATTTATATTAATAATAATTATTATATTATATTGCATTTTGCACATATATGTACTAGGGGTGGGAGAAAAAATCGATTCACCTAACTATCGCGATTCTTTTAAAAACTCGATTTATATTTAATTATTTTACTTTTCCTAAGAGGTGGTCGGGAGAAGTTGGCGCTTTTATTCCAACAGAGGGCGAAATGTATAGGTGAGTTCGACTTGAAGCAGCCGCGCACAGACCAATCGGCGTATGACATCAAAGTACCGCGAGAGCGATTCGAAAGCATGCGAAGCCATCTGCTCTCTGTAGCTCTCGCGGTGCTTTGTCATACAACGAGCGGTCTGCATGCGCAGTGCTGCTGAATTAGATGACGGCGTATTCGTTTCAAGCCGGCGCGAGAAAGCAAAACCATGACAGAGGCAGAGGATCAAACCTCTTTGAGAATTATTTCTGCACCTTCACGTTTTGAATCCCAATTGTGGAAACACTTTGGATTTTACACACTGCCGGGAAAACATGACTAAAACCGTATGCAAAGTGACATAGAACTTTATTTTATTTCAGAAAGTATTTTTTTCCTACTCATTTTGTTGAACTTTTGACTATTATATTCATGTGCAAGTTCAGTGTTTTGGTACTTGAAAGTTTCATGGTTCAAGGTGTTAGATTTTCCTGTATTTGGCTGAGCAATAGTTTGGGTGCCTCGTAGGGCTGTGACGGTCGCTGTGACAACCGCGTCACCGCGGGGGTCGCTTGCCACCGGCAGTAGTGCACGTGACGTCACGCACTCTATATCAAGCATATTACGAAGTTTTGTATACAAGAGTAATAACGGTAGCGGAACAGTGAACCGTGTCTACACCGGACGCGACACCGCCGCGTCGCAACAGGTTGAGTCTGTCTAGTGTCTACTAGGGTTGTGACGGTGAGGAAATTTTCCCACCGGTTAATCGACGTGTGACAGCATTATCGAATACCGGCACAAGTCTATTCAGCAGTGATGTTAGCATATCTTCCTTCAAACAATCTTAACCCAAGGTGCCATCTGTGAGACCAGACCTTTATACCTGGTAACAAATGTGCTACAAACAATACAATAACACCCCATGGAGAGCCACTGATAGTGTAACCTCATGATGACCTGATAGGACCTCTCCCATGGAGAGCCCATGATGCATTGACCTAATGGGCTAATTACATGAGCCATTTGGGCCACACTTCTGTAAACAGTTTCAGTTGATTGCATCTGAGGCACAGTCACAATGTAAATGCATCTGACTAAAGATACACATAATCTTTCAAAGGTATCTTAAAATATGCACTGTGTATGTGTATGCTCCTGCAATAAAAGTTCAGAAAGATGTGATGCATTGTTTTTGTTAATATGACTCATTTACAGTCTCTTTAAGGGTGTGATCAAGTATTTTCCATTGTCTAGTCTTTAATAAGCAAACAAAATCACAATAAATTGTAATATGGAATCGCAATAGTTATATAATCGCAATACTCAATTATCGCAATGTATATTGAATCGGCACACAAGTATCGGGATAGTATTGAATCGGCAGATTAGTGTATCGTCCCAGCCCTAATATGTACGTAGGCAATATTTGCTTATTATTTATATTTATTTCTTATTTTTTAATATAATTTTTATTTTTTTAAATATTATTATTATTTTTTTACAATTACTTTTATGATATATATACAGTATATGACTTATCTTTATTTTTTTCTCTTTGTATTGAACAGATTTTTTAATAAAGAAATTAATTAGCAACAATTGCATATATGTATGTACAATTAGTTTCTGTTTTGTTTTTAGGGACTGCCAGAGTTTGTTGAACATGTCTCAGGGAGTGGGCGGAGACAGCGAGGCCTTCAGACAGTTTGAGGGCGGAGTCAAGCTGGGGATTGGCTCCTTCAACCTGGTCAGTCAGTGAGACAGGAAGTGTGCGATTAACCCTAGAGTCATCGTTAATAATAACTGTTACCAACTTCACTGTTGACTGTGTTTACATCAGCGGATGAAGCTGTAAGTGTTTAGTTGCTGTTTTGTGTCCCGTGTGTCAGATGCTGTCTTTACTACCTGCACGAATCCTTCGACTGCTGGAGTTTATCGGCTTCTCAGGGAACAGAGTGAGTGACACACACTTCAGATCAGACACACACACTCTCTCATACATACACACAAACACACACACACACACTCTCTCTTACACACACACACACACTCACTCACACACACTCACTCTCACACACACAGATGGTATTTTTTACTCAACTCATATTTACACAAACTAATATGCTGTTAGTTTGTTGTTTAGCACAATGTTTCCATAATGAAAGATGATCATGACTCATTAAATATGAATCTTCAGTAGCGTTACTCAATGAAATGTCAATGTTCTTCCCCCAGGGCTCAATTATCCTGTTTTACTCGGCTCGCATCGCCTTACTGAGGGGAAACTTTGAGAAGGTGAGGGATTTATGATGACTTCACACTTTTGCACTATCAGTTTTTATAAAGAAAAGAGTCTCTTCTGCTCAGCAAGGCTGCCTTTATTTCATCAACAATACAGTAAAAATAGTGAAATATTATTAGAATTTAAAACAGCTGTTTTCTATGTGAATCTCTGTTAAACTGTAATTTATTTCTGTGATGCGCAGCTGTATTTTCAGCATCATTACTCCAGTCTTCAGTGTCACATGATCTTCAGAAATCATTCTAATATGTGTGTGTGTGTGTCTGTGTCTGTGTCTGTCAGGCGCTGGTGAAGTTCCAGGAGTGTATCTCCGCGCAGCAGCAGTGGCGTCAGATCCATCATCTGTGTTATTGGGAGCTGATGTGGTGTCACTCGTTCCAGCAGCAGTGGAGAGACGCGTATCGATACGCAGACCTGCTGTGCCGAGAGAGCCGCTGGTCTAAAGTAACACACACCTCATATTCACTAATATCATATCATTGACTCTATCAGTTAAAAACAGCGCTGAACTGATCTGAATAATGACTCAGCTGGAACTGAATTTGATTCATAACTAATGAATTTCATAACATTAATACTATTATTTTCCTGTTTATTAATGTGAAGCTGCTTGAAGCGTATTGTGTAAAGTAAGGTGACTAGATCTGGGTTTTGAACACACTTTTAAAGTTCTGTTGTCACAGCTTACCTTTACCACATTTGGTAAAAATACAAAAGAGATGCATAAATAAAAATAATCTACTAAACAATTACACTTGTAGAAAGCACATGCTTTGTCTGAAAATGAGCATAGAATTATGGATAGTAAAGATCCGAAAGCAGAAACATAAAATAACAAAAATATTACTGTATACAGTATATTCATAGTTTGTGAAAATAAAATAAATGCATTTAGAATTTAAAAAAAAAATTTGTTAAATGAAGTTTTATCATATTTGTTTTGTTTTAATTTTATAATGTGTTTTTGAAAAGTATAATATAATAATATGTTATATTATACTTATAATAATATGTATAATAGTAATAATTTTAATTTTTTGCAACTGTTTTCATAGTGTGATTTTTGCTGTATTAAAACGTAATAATAATTATTTATTATAATAAACGCACAACAGTTAAAAAAACAAAAACATACAAAATGTATGGTCCCCTATTTTTTTAATTTATTAATAATAACAAGTGAGATTTCAAAGATATTTTGACATTTAATCAGGGTCGTTACAGGTAACTAAAACTGAAACTAAAATTAAAACATTAAAAAAAATGTTGTTACTTGAAATAAAATAAACATTGACTGAAATGAAATAAAATATTAAAAAACTATAACTATAGTATAAAGTAAATATATAAAAACTATAAAAGTATAAAATAAATATTTGTTACTTGAAAAAAATAAACATGAACTTAAATAAAATAAAACAAACTATATAGTATAAAATAAGTAAATATACAAAAACTATGAAACTATAAAAGTATTAAATAAATAAATATATATAAAGGCAAAATTTCTCTTTTTATTGATTTTAACTTAAAATAACTAAAGCTGAAACTGAAATAAAAAATTCTAAAAATTATATAAACAAAAACACACAACAAAATTACTTAAACTTTAAAATTAAAGTGTAAAATATAAAAATATAAACTGATACAAAATATTAATAAAATAATATCTCAATTATAATAAAATAGCACTGCACTCAACTAGGAAATCTGCTCGCTTTAGTGTAAAGCACTGTAGGAATAAATGCTGATCAGTGTTTGCTGGCGTCGCAGGCCATCTACGTTTATCAGAAAGCTGCCATCCTGAGCATGATGTCTGAGGAGGAGCTGAAGACGAGCGGAGAGGACGAGGTGGAGCTGTTCAGGTGAGTCTGGCTCTGATCTCAGGTCAGTTCCTGCGTTTGCTGAGGCTGACTTTCTGCCGCGTGTGTCGTAGGCAGGTGGAGGGACTGAAGCAGCGATTGGCCGGGAAATCCATCCCGACGGAGAAGTTCGCCATCAGGAAATCACGCAGATACTCGTCAGCCGTGCCCGTTAAACTGGTGATTCCTGCGCTGGTGCGTCTCACACACTCACACACACAGACACTCTCTCACACACACACACACACACACACACAGACACACAC